CAAAAGAGGAACAATGGGGGTCCCCAGTTAGAGGTAAATACACAATTGTGTGTGTGTATGTGTGCGTCTTCGGTGTATACCCAGATTGTATGTGTACGGTGAGAACTAATAAAAAATGCATGATTCCTGATAAATATTTGTATTGCCATAATCTAGTCTTTTATATCATTAAGGATCGTCTTCTGATTCGTGAAGTCATGTGATCTAAGCCCACATTTTTTAAATAAAAATATACGCCATCCTAACATCGATTGTCATCGGAAGCTTCGTTAATAATGGTTTAATAAATAACAAAAACGCTGATGACCAGGTTTTAAGCCGATGGTGGGCTCTAGGAGTAATAACCGATATCTCTTCCAGCAGACCATAAGTTTGAGCTTACCGTTATTATTTTGTTGTACAGTTTGTGTCATTTTGAACACTGAATGCCAGTTATATTATTATCTAAAGATCCTTACTCGTGAAGGATCATAATGATACTTGGACATTGAAAATTACTTGTTCATTTGAGTGTGCGTCTTCTATAAGGTACATGTAGCCTTTATTAATTAAGCTATGATCAGGCTTGATTAATTATTATATAATATTGATGACATCTTGTAACGATAGGAGACGATAAAAACCCCATGCTTCATTTATGAAAAGAAGTGGCTATTTATAGGGTGTATTATCCTTATTGTTTGCTGCAAAAATTGCAGGTGGAAACTCTGCCCAAATAGAAGCAATCCTCTGACTTTCCGTGCTAGGCCCGCGACCAGCCGAATCGTCCTTACCTTGTGAAAGCACCGTCCGTCTTGCGACAAGAACTTCTGGTTGTTGGGTGACGCTTGCCCTGATTCGAGTCAAGAGGGAGGCCCTCATTACAAGCACTCAAAACCAAACTTTAACTGACTTCAACACTAACAACAGTGGGCCCATTCATTTTTCCCCAGCAAGATTGGGATTATTTATCATGTATCTATTAATTAATTACTATTTTATTCATTCATTATTTTCTCCTAGCTTAGGATTACTTTCTTTACTTTCTTATATATTCATTTAAGCGAGCTTTATACTATTATTTGATAAGTAGCCAGGATAATAGTATCACTTTTGGTTGAGATTTGGTTTGACGATTAAATAGCTGGAACAGTGGCTCGGTCCAATTTGAATGTAATTTATATTCTGTAAAAGTTCAAAAGACGAATTTGATTCCTTCAACCAGCCAGTGAAACGTAACCCATTTAGAAGTAATTCATTCTAAATTAATGTTGGTCATTGTGTAAATAATTGTAAATAGTCTTGTAAATAATAAAAAATATCTGTAATTATTCAAGAAGAAATTGAATATATTAACATAAATTATTGAAATGTCCACAAACTTGCAGGTGGAATAACTAACTCCCCAAAATTTGTACTTGAATCCTGTGGAAGTTGTGACAAAAACGCAGGACTTTTTTGTGTACAAACCACTCTGAGATGATATCACTGTTTTGCTCATGAATATGAAATACTCATTAGCATAAAAACCAAAAAGATATTAGAATACCCTTTGAAATAGTGAAACCAAAGTTGAAAATAAGGTATACTGAGGCCCAAAGGTGCATTTTGCAGGTTTGTAATCAAAACATCGATTGCAGCTACACCTTAAGCAAGCACTCAAGTTGGAATCCAACAGTCTTCTGACAACAGACAGAGCACTCACTGCCCGAAACATAGAGTATCCGCCGGTTCTTTTCTGAACCACACATACTCACAAAGAGATAATCCACATGGTGTCTCCAAAAACTTCCTACCTATCGTAGATCCACCGTGCAAACACTCAAACATTGTCTTATTTAAACACCTCCCTCACTCCTGGAAAGAGGAGGAAAAATGTTGGAAAATGCACCAAAAAAACCGGAGAATCACTTGCATATACCTGTACGTTTGTGGTCGCAGGATAGAATAGTCTATGAAACCGTTCAATGCCGTACCAAACAACAACCTAGGAACAGGTTTTGAAATATTCCCCTGGAGCATAAAGTACTCATTAACTGAATGAAATAACATGGTGTATAATTAAGGAGTCAAACAAGAGTCAGCTTTTTAATTCAATGTAAAATCAGTTATACCTTTCAACATTTTCGTAAATGTTTTAGGTTCAGTACTCTTTTGCTTTGACATTTTCTTCTAGAAACTGCTCATGAAAAACAAGAATAATAAAGGTTTTCTTGTCGGAGACAAGGCAAGTAGTCTATATTTTCAATGAGATCCATTTGAACAATGTGCCTTAAAGATTTAATCGCTCCATAGGCCTATACGCAGATTTGACTGTTAATATAAATTTAGAAACATTTCTGTTTCTAAATTTATATTATCATGGACTACATCTACGCTTTGAATTTTCATAGTTTGAATTATTACATTTGATTTTTTTGGATAGTAATCATTATAAACAGACACACATAATTTAAAATTAAGTTAACATAATTATGCACGTTGTAAATAATGCTAAACTATAAATTATTACCGTTTTCTGGCAGTGAGAGTAACCGAGGCAGGTTGTTCTCCTTTTAATGAACAGTTCCACGTTGAAATATGAAAAAATCATATTTTTTTCCTCTTGTGTTCTTGGCCATTCAGTACTTATCTGTATTACTGTAGGCCTACCAAAAGCTTTTTAATTTGGTCACGTAGATAGGATCCAGGGTGTACTGCTAAAGTTTCTCAATTATCAACTTCTGACACTTCGTTGAAATTGAATAAAGTTTATATTCATACAACTTGCACATTTACTGAAGTAAAAAGTACAAGGACCAATTCCAAATATCCTGACTCCCAGTGGAATGCTCCTTTAAGGAACGCTGTGTGTTCCCGGTGGAAATTTGCTATACTTGTATTTGAAAATTTGGCTATTGGGATGAGTTAGCATTCACACCCACACACCCAAGTGTGTATATGCCTGCAACTGGGGACCCCCTATTGTTCCTCTTTCGTTTGTACTGACCTTTTTAGAAGACCATCCATATATTTTGTGCAGAGTTGTAAATTGGGGGACCTTATTGTCCTCTATTGTTCAGGGTCTCCAAGTGAATGCAGAAACAAACTCATGTAGACCACCTCTCCCCTTTGGGAACACTTGACGCTCTGTTAAGGAGCAGCAGATGATCCTGATAGGAAAGCAGTATTGCCATTAGGATCAAGCAGTGCTGTGACTGGGACGTTCTTTTGCATTCTGACTTTACAAAAATCCCTTATCCTCGAAAGAACCACAATATTTTCTTTAGATGTTAAGAAGTGACTTCTACAGAACCTATTTTATTACAAGTTTGTCACGGTGCTGGAACTGAATTAAATTTAACTAAAATGAGAAAGTTTCTTGAGAATACATCTGCTCGGTGTATATTAGTGTTACCGGTATCAATATGAGATCATCACTCTACACCCTCGCTTTTAATAACCAGGGTTTATTCTCCAACGTTGTCATTTCATTTTTGGCCAAAAGTAAGATTCCTTGGCTACCATATAAATCTCATCCCCACTAGGGGAGTAGTGTTCCAATTTGGATTGGTTTTTCTTTCTTCCCCCACAGATATCCTTTGCGGATTACCACCTGTTTCAGTTCCTGGATGCCCTGATGGGGCTCTCTGCCTCCGCTTGTCTGGAGGCATTTCCAGCCCTGAAAGTCTACTATGGATGTATCAAGGCCCGACCGGGAATCAATAATTTCCTTGCCAGTGACCTAAACAGGAACCGCACTTTCAACTATGTTGGCCATTAGTAGATTGACAACTGGTTAAAGCTTTGGCACGTCAGATTTGACTTCTTCCTCTTTTACTTTACATAACAGCATTCTACTTAGTTTATGTGGACGACCTTTATAGGAACGGTCATTATCATAAAAATAGGGCTGGGAGGTTTAAGGGCCTAAATTCCTTCAAAGCTTTGTCATCATTGCTACATTGAAATAATCAAGAACCCAAAACTGGCATTGAAATTCAGTTCAATGCAATTTGCTTGCCTGAACACTTTATTGCTGGATTATCTTGGGACCCATTAAGCTTATAATGATTTGTATCTATGTATAGTAAACATACACGTTTTGGCAACTTCAAAAATTAACTTTAAAGATTCTTTCACTTTACATGTCTTTTTGGTGAAGGCTCATAGACGCTTTACTTTTGCTAAATGGTATTTTTGTTTCTCAAAGTTTAACTTGTGGTATTTTCTCTTTGCCTTTTCCAATACAAATTTTATACACGTATTCCCTTGGAAAAGTATGTAGGCCTACATTTCACTTGCAATATGTTGTTGGTTTACAGGCTATTATGAATGAAAACTTACGTAGAAGATTGACTATAAAAACCATCGCGCACATTAAATGGATCTTTGCGTTAATTGCTAAAATTATTTTATCGCATAAACGATAAAAAGCCATTACTCTCTGAAAACGCCCAAGGGCACGCTTTGGCTTTACTTGTTTTGTTGTCATTTGGGCGCCGCCGTGAATAATCACGTGACTGGGCTGTAGCGTTTGGATGCGCGAGTTGCCTGGATACGAAGTGTCCTTATGCAAATTGATTAAACTTTAGGCCAATGAAAATGCAGTTTTCAGCGTTCCTTTCGCGTTCCTTATGGCAAAAGAAGCAAGTCTTACTCCTGGACAGCAGGTGCCAGCAGTTGCACCGAAAAAGTTTCACCGAAAAAAACATTATACCTTGTTTCTGCATAATCTGTAGGCCTACTGCAATATTCATTTCTCGATGGATGTACTGCTGTAGCGTACATATTGATACGCCGGACCCCTGAGGTGGCAGATTTTGACTTATTCCATCGCGTTTCGGCCAAACGGACCTAACGCAAGGGGCATCGCACATCTGCAGAACTTCTACACGGGAAAGGCCAATTTTGTTGGCCATCTGCGGTAGGCCTAGTCTAGGCCTAGTGTGCTTCATTAGGGCCTATCGCCGTCGGATTTACCCACTTCTACAGGCCTTGTTCGTCCTTGCCTTGGCATCGGGCTGTTGACTTCTTTGTACTTGTATACAGTTGCGGTGGATTCTATACAAGGGGGACTTCCTCCCCAGTGTTGATCTGCAAGTCTGACTTTGTGAGTTCCAGATGGAGCAATCTATGCGGCGACATACATTTTACACTGGACTTCTGCGACCTTTGGCTTAGGTTTTCATGACAATATTAACTGTCTACGGTCGACCGGCCCAGCTAGAACCCCTGCACTCCAGTGTTGCTGCGGCAAGCACGGGCCAAGTCACGATCGGGTCGGTTAGATGCATCTTCTCCCCTGCACGGGCCCAAGCCACGAGGACGGCCTAGTCGTACCAGTGCTCCAGCCGCTTCACGGACATCCAAACCCGCCACCACCACAGTCGATCATAGCGAAAAACCCAGCCAAGGGACGGAGACAGTTCCTGAATCACCGACGGCCGTTGGGGTTGGTGAGTTTCACCTTCGATCTCACCCCCAGTAGGCCTACTCCTGGTTTAGCAGAGGCGACTGCTGCTAGGGCAACTCCTGTTAGGCCTAGACCGAGTTGTAGTACTAGCAATAGTGGTAGTGCTAATGGCATCGGCGACAAATCCATCAATACTAACTCTCCTCAAGGTCCATTGCCCTTTCCGGTCGTTTCTCAACCGCCCTAAGCTAGCGCTAATACTCGCCCTGCAGTTAGTACGGGTAGCATTATTGGCACTAATAATTCAGTTGTTTCACCGGGCATATGGTTCAACAGCAGGTCGGTTCGTGACGCTGGGTCACAGCTGAATATGCAAGATGATTTACTTCACCCTTGGCCTCTTTCGTCCTCCTTAGAGAGCTGGGATCTTGATATTGAGAGGCCACCGCCGATGCCAACTTTTCATGTCTATGCACCTGTGGGTTCGCACGTTCCTCTGCACACTTGGGGAAAAAATTGGAGAAGGCAATACGTTGAAATAGCCACTCTATACAGGGAAAATTCCACGTCTGCAGTTCGCGACAAAGGCACCACCCTTACCGTGGCGGTTGAGGAAGGAAAAATGCCTTTCACACACTCTTATCACTTTTTGTGTGTGTTCAGCACCTAAACCGCACTTCGGAGTTGCTAAAATGTGCAGACACAGTTCGGATCGCAGCGCAACAGTTTCCATTTGGCTGCCATTTCGCCTTCGCCAAGAGGCCTTTCCAAATCGATCATGGGAGGAAAAAGATATGGAGCTATGTCTGGCGGACACTGCTGCCACTGGCATTTCACCTGCAGCTTTCTCAGGGCATGTGTCAAAGGCGGCGACGGGAAATCAAATCTACTTGGTATTCAACGGATCAACGGGCTGTCGATGGCACCCATGCAAATTCCTGCATCGTTGTAGCCGCTGTTCGAAATTCAGCCATGTTGCCCTGTTTTGCCGGTTTGGCTCTTCTTTTGCTCGTTCGCCACAAGTGGATTAGACGCGGTCAAAGACGGGGTTTCCCCACAGTCAGCGACACCGCTTTGAATGGTCGTTTGCAAGGTGGCCACTGGGCTAACACTAGCGCTGCAAACACCTCCACACAGATTAGGCCCACTTCATACGCTGGGTCCAGGACATCTGTCAAGGCAATGAATATCAGCTTTCGCACTCCCAACGCTAAAGCAGCCGTACTTCTTGAGACAAGTTTGACACATGGGTTTCAATTAGGTTTCAAGGGCCACGCCTTTCTCGGGATTCGCATTGTTAAGTTTCAGTATATCCGAAAGGCCAGACATCACGCTCAATAAGTTACAAAAAGAAATTGGCATAGGGCGGATAGCCGGCCCATTCGCGAACCAGCCTTTTTCTCATCTTCAATGTTCCCCTATGGGTCTTGTCCCGAATGAGTTTTGTCTTATACACCACTTATCCTTCCCACTCGGAAAGTTCATCAATGATTTTATTAGCCCAGACAATTGTTCAGTAAACTATGCCTCGTTTGATTCGGCAGCAGATTTAATTATGACGTTAGGTCCAGGGGCATGGCTCGCCAAGTCGGACATTAAGTCCGCGTTTCGCCTCCTTCCTGTTTCACAATTGGATTATGAATTGCTCGGCTTTCAATTTCAGGGTCAATTTTATTTTTACAAGTGTTTGCCAATGGGCTGCTCCAGTTCATGTTGACCTTCAGCACCTTCATAGAATTTCAGGCAAAAAACACGTTGCGCGTGCAGCAGGTGTAACCCATTACCTTGACGACTTCTTGTTTATCGGTCGTACCCGCAATGAATGCGCCAATTTTTCTGCTAACATTTCGTGGCGTGTGCTCGGCATTGGGTGTCTTAATTGCGGAGGAAAAAACTGTGAATTCAACACAAGTCATTACTTACCTGGGTCTGGAGATAGACAAATACGGGTACCAAACGAAAAAGTCACTTCGCTTGCATTTAGTCGACGCCCTTGGCTGAACTAAGCTCACGCTGCAACAACTGCAGTCATTGCTTGGGTCACTTAATTTTGCGTGTAAAGCCCTAACCCTGGGAAGAACATTTATGCGGCGCTTTATGGTAGCCCTTACTTCAGGGTTACGCAAGCCTATTCGCAGAGTGCGAGTATCAATAGGTCCAAAACTTGATCTACTTATGTGGCTAGAATTTTTCGAGCACTTTAATGGCGTTTCACCTTTTTGTCACCTTAACTGCAACACCAATGACAGTATCGAATTGTATACCGATGCTGCAGGTTCAATCATCCAAGTCATAAAGTGACATTTTACTCCAGGGCCTGTTCACATGTGACAAGCGTGTCAAGTGTCATGGTCAAGCACCATGACTTTTGCACATACGCTAAGGGTACAATGCCTTGGTCAGTATTATTGGTAAGCATGCCACTTTTACTTTCTTTACATGTTTTAGAATTTTAAGAATTGCATTGCTTGAACTGTTATCATTGAATATGTTCTGATCAATTGTGATAGCCAATAAAGTAGCAACGCTGTCCAAAAACACAACTTGCTTGTCTGACTTCGTTTTTCTGGGAGTAATGCAACCATTTAAAATTAAACACCTTTTTGGAAATTAAGGTGTTTCGGTCTAGTCTTCGGAAGGTGTTACCACCTGATAAACATGGTTTTTTGTGTGTTGTTATAACACTGAAATATGTTATGGTTTCTAAATCTATTTTTTTAAATTTGTTAACACATTTTTGTAACAAAAGTAAATAAATAACCACCAATACATATTTAGTTTTGGACTATAAACACCACAACACACTCATATCAAAAAGGCGTAAAAATACTTATTTTGCAGTGTTGAAAGCTAAACAAATAATGCCGCTTTTATAACGTTTTGTTCTCTCCCTCAAAATTTAGATGACGGGATGGTCAATATTATTTGGGTCGCTTTCCATTGCGTATTGGAGTCATTCAAGTCTTTTCCCAAGGGGGCTTAACACTGTTTAAAATGGTACACTGAGAAAGAAATCCATCGTCATAGCATTTTATTAAACTTGGCTAATAGACAAAGTTCACATGTTGAACCCTTTTGGTAAACGTTGCCAGAGTTTTCTGTAATAAGTCACTTTTCATTTCATTTTCCCCAACAGACAAAGCCAAAGAGGAACCTTGCATCAAAACGGCGTATTCATGGCTTTTCACAAATTTTTCTCCTCCATTGTGAGTGCTAATAAATACATAATGGTTGTTTGGAAGTTCAAAATATTCTTCACGACCAACCTTATGTTTTTCTCAAGACGAAAAACTGCCCTCTCCCTAGTAACACTTTGGGGTCAGGTAATTCTACCAAAACGTCAATGGAAAGTCAATGACACGTAGGTCTCAAGTAATTTTTCGCGAAGGCTGGCAAATCTCTCTACCTTACTTCTTTGAAAAGATATAGGGCGCTTTGATTCACAGAGGGTTTGACGAGTAGTTGAGGCGCAATCGTTTTTATGATAATTAAGCAAAAAATATATGCCAGTACTGAGTATAAATCATTCTTTTCTCTGAGTTCTCAATGTGTGTTTTTGTTAAGCTACCAGACACCAAAATAACCGGAGGATTGAATTTTAAATAAGTACCAGTATCAACCCATTACTCTTTTTGTGAAGCAAGGGGGCGCTATACGACGTTGGTAAGTTTTAAGTAAACCACGAAAGGTTTTTCCCATACTAAACAGCCTTCCCAATATGTCCGCCACACCTCAAATAGGCTAACGGAAACGAAATCCATAATATCAGGAGTGCAAGAAACAAACTTCATATGCGAAAGTGGACCCTTTCAAAGCTTACTCTGTAATCACAAGTCAATTTGGTTATTAGAGAAACTTCCTTTAGACAAATTAAAATTGCAAGTGACGGCTGCCATTGTTGCCTCATAAGGAGCATTACATGCAGAATTAATATTAATTTATCAATTTAATAAGATTGCATAATCCTGGGTCGTTTGACACATGTTGGACTTTTAAACATGAAGGACTTGATGAGGTTGTTTGGGAAGGCGAATTCCATGTTTTTTGTCGTCAAGGACAAGCAGATACACGGTGTTTTGTCTTCGACCATGAACTCGTGATATTATATTAATTAGTTAATTAATTAATTAAGAAATTAAACCAAAATTCCAGTACGTTCTAATTACGTTGACTATTCGTAAATTTGTTATAGTTCTGAACAAAGAAACTAGTAACCGTGTATAGTACGTTTTTTCCACCACCCCGTTCGCGGGGTCATTAAATTGGGTACTTTGTTATAGTAACATGAATAAATGCAAGTTGCAGTCATTGTAATACATCATCTGTATGCACTGTACTAACCGTTATCAAATACAAAAACAGAAAGATGAAATAATTGGTCATTAAGGTTATTGCTCTGTTAGCTTGCAACATTAAGACAGATGTATCTAAATTTAAGAATCCATCGTCCAAGCTTTTAGGCAGTAGAAATATCAATCAAAATGTAGAAATTTATTTTAAGTAGGGAATTATAGGAAATGAAAAATTATATTCAAAGTAAAAGCATAAGTATTAAAAACATATATGCATAAAGCGTAATTATTATTCATATTGACAAACACGGAGTATGGACTTCCGATATGGTCTTCGGCAGTATTCAACGACTCTTAAAACCACGACAGTGAGGCAATGGGCCCCATCCCTAACGCCAAAAGAGCTCAAGTAATTTGAATTCAAATAGCATATGGCGTGAATCGCAAACAAATAGGGGGCCTAACGGTGATTTCTTCTTTTATAACCCCTAATACATACTATGGAAATTATAAAGCAAATAATTTACGAGAGATAATGTATAAGTTACTAATAACTAGGAAGGCAGAGAAAACCGAGAAAGACAAAGTTTAACATTCTCTACGATTTTTTGACAATAGGACACTCGACATATACTGAATGTAGTAGAATGTGATCTAATTATGCAGCTGCTATTGGTATTTCTCTAGAGGAAACAGTAACACAAATTTGCCATAATTATTGTGCCACCTAATCAAATCTTAGATTAAGATTGTCGTGACCGTAGCTCCCTGATCGCTTTTGGTTAAAGTGCAAATCCGCAATATCCTTCATTTAAAGAACGTTTGAGATTTTTTTTAAACAGAATTTATCTTTGTGATACGGAACATTGTGACATCAAAATATATTTCAAGCTTCTTTGCTTGAAATTAAATAGCCTTAAAAGCACAGTTGATCCTTTACACCGTATATTTTCACATAGTTGAAGATGAAAACTTTTCTGAAGTAATACTGATAAGAAATTTCAATAAACGAGATAAAAATTGACAATCATAAAAATGTGATTGTGGACTACTGCAGCACTACCTTGGTACAGAGGAAATAGGCTATTTATGCTGTCGAGCAAAAATATAACAAAAGTTAAAACCACTACAAAATCAACATAACCATAATGGTGTTGTTCATTAGCTATACGAAAGTTACAAATATCGTCAATATTAAATGCGTAAGTCTTTTTTCCCCAGAGACACCTTTTTTATTTCTCTTTTGTCGACACAAACTTAACAGCAATTAATACAGTTATAAAAGATTATAATACTTCAATTATTCGGATTAAACTTGACAAAGTGCAGAGTAATTTTGCTATTTTAACCAAAACTGTTGGCAGGTGCCATTAACAGAAGCCAAATATTTTTCACCATGATAATACCTCTGGATATCCCTTTTCAAACCTTGTAATGAGGGGCGTTTGCTGTTCATTTTCATTTCATAAATGTACAATCAAGCAACCAAATGGATAAGATTAAGGCATTTAAGTGTAGTGTCAACGACACCGAACAATAAAAGTTTATTGTTACAAGGTGTATCTTTGTTTTGTCCTTAATCCAATCTACTATTAAGCTCCAGAAAGAATTGACACATTTACAGTTGCAAAACTTTTACAAACGGTGCATACATTTGAATTCAACGCATGGATTTTACATAAATACGAATTAGTACAAGGATTCAGTGGATTGATCTAAACTGAAACCATCTAAGCTTAGAGTCCACTGTGCATGTAAAAGGAACACTAAAGACCTGAAACCAAACATCCAAGTCATAGTGGAATTCAATTTGCCTTTCCCATTTGTCCACAAACATTCTAGGTACAGTTTTTACGGAGACAAAAAGGTCGTAGAGTCTCCGAGAGCCCTTTTTGTTGGACAGGAGAACATGCATGTTGAAGGGAACAAAGGGAAAGGGAACATTGTTATTATTCGTCAACAAATCACGATAAGCAGCCTTGACTAATCTTAAGACCGCACCATATTCAATTAAGTTGGTCTGGACATTGAACTTGGCCCTAAAATCGGACAGTGATAAAAAGCAACCCATATTATCTAAAAGATCACATATGAAATAAATACCAGCTGCAGACCAGTGCTTATGATGAATACTCTTATTGCCAATCTTAATTTGATTGTAATACCAAAGTGTTGTTTTTAAAACCTCTACATTAGTTATTGGACCACAGTAAACTTCTGCCAAGAGGTTAAAACGTCAACCCAAAATTGATTGCCCCAAAACAGGGTTTTCGAGATGGAAATAAATCCATTGAGCCACCTTCTTTAAACAACAAATGGTTAATACCAAGTATTCTTCGACACAGGTATGCCCATCCCAAACATTCTCACACTAAGAGTCAACGTTACCATGTAATTTTCAGAGCATCCATATATGCCTTAACGTCAGCCATTCGTAAACCACCCTCTTTATAGTCTTGAATCATTTGACTTCTTGAAACACGATCCTGTCCTTTCCAAATGAAGCTAAAAAAACATAACGTTCAACTCTTTTAAAGTATCCACTTAAGGATCCGGTAAGGTAAAGAATCAAATAAGTATTTGATTAAGAGCTATTAACTTTCTCAGTCTTGAAATGACTGAGTTATAATTAATCGACACCATGGACTTCAGATTGGTGGAGAAAGAAATGCCTAATATTTTAAATGTGTCATTTGGCTCTATCCATTGGCCTTCAATATCTCACACAATCTGTCCGAGGAATGTTTCTTTGAACCTATCCAGACAACACCAGTGTTATCGACATTAACTCGCAACCCCGACATGCATTATACATAGATCTCCCTGTACCATCTAAAAAGAGTACTGTGTCATCAGCATATTGGGATATTGGGAACTCCTTGTCACCTACTTTAATGCCCTGTAAATTCTGATCATTGTATAACATCAAGGACAAAACCTCAGCGCATAAAAGAAACAAAAAAAGACTTATGCCATCACCTTGCCTACAACCTCGCTCTACCATAAATGATTCTGAAAGAAATGTATTAACCAAAACTAATTATAAAACAGTTTAACCCATCTAATAATTGATTAAAGTTATATAAAACACTATAAATAAAATCATATGAAATTGAATCAAAACCTTTTTCAAAATCAAAAGAGAGCATGACACCCAGAATGTCCTTAGTCTCTGTGAAAGTAAATAAATCATACATCATACGGGTGTTTTCACA